GAACAGTTTCCTAGGCTAAGTGCACTGCAGCCAGAGAAGGGAATCTGAAAGAAACTTCCGAGTTACGGTGGGCATTCTCTACACGAACAAAACTGTACGCGAGGAAACGCGCGCGCGCAGGCATTCATTCTTCGCTTGATCGCGCTAGTCAGTACTCTTGCTGCTAGTGCTTTTCACCATGGTCGCGGAGCTGGTCAAAGGAATTTGAGCTTAGGGCAACCACCCATTTCTGTGGAAAAAACGACATGCTTTTCTACAAAAGACAAGTGGCGGTGTGCTTTGTAGAAACGATGCCCAAAGCACACCGTTGGATGCTTTAGGTAGTAAGATGAATCGGCTTTGGGGATCAAAGTTGTTTCACCCGTAACAGGATCAAGAACCTCAATCATCTCAACCTCTTCACCCCCCGGATCGTCGGCAAGGTCTCCCGATCCGCGAGCGGCGATGGGTGCATCGTCAATTAGCACGTCAGGGAGTTCTGGTGGTTCATCAGGTTCATACTCTTGGTCAACAGCATGTTTCAAAACCTCCTGATCAACAAGTTCTTCAATGTTTGCAGCCTTGACATCATCAATTGATGGCAGATTGCTCGAAATGGAAATGCCTGGGTACAAACCTTCTCTTATCATGTTGTACCTGCCTTTGCATGGGAAGTGTAATCCGATGTCGGGAACGGCAATCTGATGGACTCTCAATGGTTGAATCTCCGCACTGAAGTCTGATTCCATGACATCCTTCAATGGTAGAACCATGAACTCCTTTCTCCACACAAAATTGGACTGAACGGCATATCCCAAGAATATCCCTGGGTTTGACGTCGGCTCGAACCTGAGAGAGGACTTTGCTTTGTTCTTGGGGCCGATCCAGTAATCAATCCTCAATCCAAAGGGAACCAAAGGGCCTGTGAACTTCTCACCGAATCGAAGCGACCAAGGCGAACTACCCTCCCGGGTGTCGACGATATTGTTTGCCATGCATGCATGCCTGGCAGCGTGAGCCCAATATTGATGGTGTAGGCCAGCTTGCTCTAGGTTTACCCTTGTTCCATCGATGACAGACCGAATCGATCTCTCAGCCATAGCATTGGTCTTAGAGACGTATGCAAAGCTGGTTTGATGCCTCCATCCTAGCCTTTCGGCAGTCGCGATGAGTTCTGGTGAATTGTCGGAATAAAATACTCCTACATCATCAGTCGAACGGACAAAATGCTTGAAGGCTGCTATGCATTCACGTGTTGATCGACGTGCGGCCGGATAGACATATCTGAAATCCGTTGCCACGTCTTTCACGACCAATGCGACGCGAGCCCCATCGATGTCCATTTCCTCATCGTCACGAATGACAAGATGGTCAGCAGTCAAATGTTGTCCGAAATGATCCGCCTCTACCTGGGTTGAACCACCCTTGCTATACGATGGACGTTTGGTCATCTTTGCTCTCGAGCAGGCTTGACAAAAGGGGTTCTTCGGAGTATGAGTCAACAGATGTTGAATGGATTGTGCTTCTTCCTTGAGAGCTTTCTCTCCCCTATCCCTCTTCGGGTCCAACGGCTTCTCCACCAACCTTTCATCCACTGGCTCGGGATCATCTTCAACAGGATCCTCGCCGATGGGATTGTCCTCATCGTCCTGGACCTCAATTGCCTCTTCAGCCGGCGACGCGGGCAGGGGGATCATTGGTCGCAGTGCCCTGGACCGATCGTTCGTACCGTAAGGTTGACCTATGGCGGACATTGCAACACCAGTGGTTGATGGCAAGTATGGAACATAATCCTCCACTTCAAGTTTGACTTTGGTTCCGTCTGGTTTCTTGAAGTACGGCCTACTGTAAGCGGGCCAATGGAAGCTCCATCCTGCGTCGATGCAGCGTTGTCCTACCGATACGACGGCTGGGCTATCTTCCAAGACGTATGGATTGATGTCAGCTCCCAACACGGGTACATTGACTCTGGCTTGGTCAGTGGCTTGAAAGACTCCGTTGGCAGTAAGAAGACTGACCGGTTTGGACGATTGTGACACTTCATCCGAATGTAGCATGTGTCTAGATACAAGATCGTGTGCGCTCCCAGTATCTGCAATCCATGCAATCTCAGTGGTGGGCACTGTTGGACATGATCTCCTCTCAAAACACTTGATGCAACCTATATCAGAGTTGCACAGGTACGAACATTCTGCCGGCAAGGACACCAGTTCGTTCCTGACAGCATTCTGAAGGTGTGATGCTGCAATGGATGCGTCCTCTGTAGCGACACGAACTGCCTCAGCATGCTCCGGTCGACCTGGTATAAAGGGTCTTCGTTTCTTCTTACTTCGGGGTTGAACGGATCTCCAACTGGAAGAAGACTCAACAGCATGATTGAAAACGTTTGGTTGATCGTCAAAACGAACTCTTTGCGTAACAAAACTGTCAATGTTTTCTGTGTTGTCAAAATCGGTGCACATAGTGTTTGATGCGGAAAGGACTGGCATGGCCACGCTTCCCAGCGGGCGAGTGATGAGGACGGAGGATCCCTGAGAGACCACTGCGGCCATGACCACTGCTCGAAGGAGGCATACCGCTGCCGGTGCATTGGAAGAAGAAGACTTCCCACCTTTCCTCCTCTGACTCTCAGAGCCAGTTGAGTTTTCGGAGCCTGATGATCCTCGTGAGCTGCTTCGCTTGCGAGGTTTCTTGTCTTTCTTCTTCTTCTTCTTTTTGTCCTCTTTCTTCGCAGGGACAGTCTTTTCAGGGTGTTGGAATGCGCAGTCTTTTCCTCGGTGGCAATGCCCTGCCTTCCAAAACTTGCAAGTCTCCTTGCGAGATCCTGGTGTCAGCGATCTTGACCGAGATTGGCTGCGATCCTTACCCTTTCCCTTTCCTTTGCTTTTCTCGCGGCCTTTTTCGTGCTTGTAAGGACATGATGATCCGCGCTTGCATTTTCCGGTCTTTTGAAACTCGTAGCAGATGCCTTTCTTCTCCTCCGGAGCTGGCATGGTTGTGTCTTTGGACCCGAGCGAACGCTTCGTGGCGTCGCGCATCTTTTCCAACCTCTTCCGTTCGAGGTAGGCCCGGGCAGCAGTAATCAGGAAGTCGTATGTTCTTTCTTTGCTTCCATCGGCTGCACGGTCGTACAAGGCCAAATCATGCTCAAGCGGCTTGAAACGTTTCACTGCCAGGTGGAAATAGGCTTCCAGAACACTGTTTTCTGGTTCCTTTTTCATTCCGGCAAGAACGCTATCCCATTTATTTATAAAGCCCTTGAGGTCATCGTTGACCATTTTGACGGACATGAGGTCTTCGAGTCCGTAGATTGCTCCATGCTTGATGCTTGTGGCAAAATACTCGTGGAACCGAAGGAGCAAGTGTCTACCCTTCACGTTCTTGTCTTCACGAGCACGCAACTCCTTGAATGTAGCAATCTGCCGACCGAGGTCCCCCTCGGCGCAATTGGTTAAGCTTGCAAGAAGCTTTGCGTCGAGGGTTGCAAATCCCTCTGAATCATCCAAGGCATCAATGGTTTGGGAATCTTTGTAGACTTTCCCAACCCAAGATCTCGCCTCATCCGGCTTCGCTGAAGCTGCAGCAATATTGTCCCTCACCTTGATCTTCCAGTCTCTGTACTTCTCAGATGTGGGGAACTTGGGAATGAGAATTTTGTCAGCTTCTTTGGCTTTACTCTCATGATCCTTGTCTTTCGACTTCCTTTGCTGCTTCTTCAGCTCTTTGCGAATGATGCGTGCAAGACGCGATGATTCAGAGCTTGAGTCGTTTGAGTCATCACTCCCTCCTGATGAACTGGGTGACGATGGTGATGGGGAAGGAGAGCGTTTCTTTCTGCGCTCCCTCGAGCGGCCCCTCTTAGGGCTCTTCTCTTTCTTCTTATCCTTACCTTTCTTCTTCTTGTCTTTCTTTGATTTATCACCACCCTCTTCATCAGCATCGGATGGATGAGGCTCATCACCGCCTTCGATCCCGGGCTTCTCCAACTGAGTGCGAAGGCTCGCTGGAGGCAAAGCTGGGGACACCTGAGACCCAAGTGGCTGCACTGATGGTGCAGGCGCTCGGTTCCCCGAGGCGTTGTCAAACCTCTCTCTCAACTCCTTGATGATTCGACTCTGTTCTGCTAGCTCTGACCGAAGTGCATCCTCTCTTTGCTTGGCAGAGGCGCGTTCGTTCTCAACGACGGTGTGTCGTTCGAGCGAAAGGCGATCTAGGTAAGCCCGTTGTTCTTGAAGATGTTGATTTTGATGGGCTTGGTTCATGTCACTCAATCGTTGATTGGCTAAAGCCTCAATCTGTTCCCTAGACTCCTGGACAGCCACTTTAGCTTGGTTCTCCACTAAGTCTCTAAAATGCCTAGCATCCTCAGCTACTTGTTGCCCGTGCTCGGCCAAAATGGCCTGATGCCGCAACTCTGCGATCTGAGCTACCTGTGCTGATCTGTCCTCATTGACGAAGACTGCTTGTTGATGGATCTGTCTTGCATCAACGTTCTGGACATTCATCACAGGAGAAAACTCAGGTTGAAACGGCGACGGTGCTTGACCACTAGGCAACAGGTCCCCCCTGTGCACTGAACGTCGGTGGCGCAATTGGTACACGCAACTCCAGCGGAACGACAGGGAGATCAGCAGCAGGTGAACTGGACATCGCAGGCGAAGTAGGAACGTAGCCTGAGCGTGAGCGGTCACCACGGGAACCATCATCATCAGCCATGGCCTCTAGATAGTGCACTACCTAGGGTGGGGTGAGACCACAGCTAGTAGAAAGCACGTACCGCACTTATGGCGATACGGCTGATAACCTGTAGATACAGGTAAACGACCGAGAACTACCAACAAGTCGCACCTGGTTTTCCTTGAGCCAAACGGTAGGTAAGTGAGACATGTATACGATATCCTAGCGTGAAACAACACCTAGGAGCGTGTTTAGTCCATTAAGTAGGCACCTACTTAATTAAGGGCGGGCAAAACATAGAAAAGGAATTTCAAAATAACTCCATTTGCATGGTCGATGTCTGCCTCCGTCCCTCCTCCGTCCTTTTGTCCGACAGCTCCAATCTAGCTGGCCTCACTCAACACGGGGAAGAGAGCCATAGCAGCTAGATTCTCGGGAAGACATATGCAACAATTACACGCATAAAGAGCCATGGAGTATGGTACAGGCAAAAAGGCTGCGTTGGTGGATGTGTTTAGATGAAGGTGGCACTCTTGACTTGGAAGTCACAAATTCCAATTAAACCATCAAGTCGAATACGAACTGTGAACATCCCAGTATTTTGTGTCGTGCATCTCATGTGGCACAGGCAAATCAGTCATGAATCCCTTCTAAATGCCACCGCTACCGTTAAAAGACTCCTGCTTTGCTTGAAGGACAATGTGAAGATACCCCAAGGGAAGGTCTCCAAGGTGAGAGTGTTACATGCTTTCAAGGAATGTGGCACCAACATGCACCTGTGAATGCACAACATTCAGAGGCGCATCCCCACATTCAGGATGCCTTCAAGTGAAAGGAGCTCACAAGCACTCGCATGTAGGCAAATGTCTTTGCATAGAAGCTGGCGTCTAAATGCTTGTAGGCAAGCAGCTTTTTGTTGCTGATTCTTCTACATCAGATTGACAAAGGGTATCTGGATATACCGAGATTCCAGAATTGTTTGCACATTGATGGGTCAACTAGTCAACTAGTTGCCGAAGGAAATTGATTGACACTTCGGAGTTTAGTCGATGGACACAGGTGCGATGCAGTCAAGGGAAGAACCGTGTGACCACGGCAAAGGGGTTCTGAGTGTTTCTGGGCTGCGTGGTGTTTGTTGACGGGAGCAGGTTCGGAGTGGCATCATAGCTGTTCTCCGTGCTTATTGAGGCGTGGAGCGAAGAAAAAGAGATTCCTAGTGAACACGTAGTGAAAAACTGCAATTTCCAGAGAAAAGGAAAGAAATCTAGAAAAACAAGTTGACAGTGTTGCTATAGAACAACCATGCCGATGTATGAAAGTCGATTTATATATGATTATTATAACTGTATATTAATAGAACGAGAGACAAAATGATCAGATTTGTTCTGACAATCGCACAGCACAAACCTATTGCGAGCGCAATGCTAACACATGCAAAGCATCAAGTTATGGTAGCGCTTGAAACTTCCATACTTGAAACAATCCCCACAGGACCAAGTACGTCATCTTTGAGTGCGGTTTCCTTCGTGCAAGTGGGTGCTTCGTAGTTCAGAAGGTGACGCTCGATAGATACAAATTGCACAGCGTGCGGTGGGAATGTGTTTCTGATGAGAAGCTGTCCCAATAGATTAGGATGCTTTGAACTCAATTAAACGTGCATTTAGGCAGCAGGGAAACGGATTTACATTGAAGTAGCTTCCTCGAAAGGCACACCCCAAAAAGGGAAAAACATGCCCTTGGAGAGACATAGGGGTTCATGGAGGAGGATGCATTTGGATAGGGTGCCCAATTAGTTCCCGAGAAAAATGCACTTTAATAAGAGTGGAATGAGCACGAACGAATTGCCATCATATCACAACGTGTGTGCAAGCAGCTCGCTTGCCCAACCTGAAGAAAACTTCAGATTGTTCTTGGGGTTCTCAACTTTGAATTCTCTTAAGATTCTGAGGGCTTTGCTCCTCACAGGGTTATTCTGCGCTTACGTTTCGACTTGGCACCTACAAGTGCTGGGTCAATGATCCAATTTGATAGCCTTCACTCTGAAGCAAGTCTGGGCCAACTATTGCTATCTACGATGAGCTTGCCGAGCACTTGCCGTCTACAACGGTTCGGATCGCTCTCTCCAAAGAAAAAACAGCGGTGTGGTTTCCAGCAGATTGTACGACGTGTCCCGAGTGACCTTAGTGACCTAGATTCGCAAATGAATATATTTGAACTTCAATTGGGGAGCGGGCAGCACTCCCGCATGAAACAATCGAACTGTTTCGCTGGCTGGCTTTCTGGGCGGCCTGAATTGACCTTGTTTTCCGCCCTTAGAATGCCAGGGCCTAGTCGGCCCCGAGCCCAAGAGCGGGCTTCGGGGTGCCGACCGACTCCACGCACCGGCGGAATTCTGTCAAACGCCTTCACCTGGCACACCTGTCACCCGTTATCACTCGGGGTGCAAAGTAGGTCACTTAGTGGCCCTTTGGCCCTGGGTGCTTAGTGAACCACACCTTGCAACCTTCGGATTCAGTGTACTGATTGATTAGGGTGAAAATGATTTTCCATCGTTTACACGTTTGCTGGATGCCCTCCTTACACTTGCTTGCACTTCTGTTTGCGAGTTTGCAAAGTGGTCTCATTATTGCTTGTAGATTTCCACCATCTCTCGCTTCCTGTCATTCCTATTCTAAAACAAGCGGCAGGGGCGCTATTTGATGCGTTTCCTGTTTCCAGCAATGGTTTTTGCCCATAAAGGGAGGCGCCACCAATACCTGATGCTTATGGCGCTGGATCAACTAATGTCTGTTGCTGATGGACTTTGTACGTGCTCAAGATCTACCGGGCGGCAAAGTTGCTTTACGAAAAGGAACCAGTGAACTGTTTCTGATTTGGAGGTCCACTTCTGCGATACACTGTTGAGATTTGCCTCTCGGACTAACACATGAATCGGTGTACCGTGTTTTGCTTTCCTATCATACGTTTCCGTTGCGAAAACTGCAATGTACTTAAAGACATTCTTTCACTTTACGTCTATGGTTGATTAACGGTTGATTGTGTGCACTAAGACCTCACCCCCTGTACCCCAAATGTATTTCTGCCAGGGCTGTGGGGCGGGAATTCTACTTTTGACGCATCTTGCCACTGACCAAGCCTCACACTGAACGGACTGATCCAGTTTTTAGAAAGGAAATAGGGGGAGTGGCGTGGGCAGTAAGGGCGTGGAACAAAAACTGCAAGACACAGAAATGCTCTGGGAACTAGTTGGATCGTCAAACGTCCTTCTGTTTCTTGCTGTGTCAGTCTGGATGCCGACAGGATTGGACAGTCAAACAAACAAAGAAATATTCAAAATATGTAATATGCATGGGCTCGTTGATGCTCTTTGCACAGGAGTAAAAGCCAAAATTGCAATTGCACAGCATGGAGGCTGTTCACTCACAGCTGGCCTGAGTGCCTCGCGAGAAGATCTTCCGAGGAACTACTTTGGACCCTGGCCTGGAGGAAAGCAGAAAAGAAAATGAAACCATCATCTCAAAATACTTTTTTTTTAATAATGTGTCAGCTAGTCAAAAGGTAAGAACTGGAGGCATAGAGATACATTTCGACTAGCTACTCTCTTCCTTGCGTCATTTTTGGGTAAGGAACCAAAAAGGGTGTGTTTAAAACCAAATTGGGGATGGGCCATGTTTGATGATAGTGTCTAAAAATGGGTCTAGAACTTAAAAAGGAAGCAGGAATCCTAAACGCCACTATAAGAATTGCCATCGCTACTAGGTTGGAGGCCATTGCTAGTTGGTTGGAGGCCATCCCTACTAGGTTGGAGGCCATGGCTTCTAAGTTGGAGGCCATCGCTACTAGGTTGGAGGCCATCGCTGCTAGGTTGGAGGCCATCGCTGCTAGGTTGGAGGCCATCGCTAGTAGGTTGAAGGCCATCGCTAGTAGGTTGGAGGCCATTGCTGGTAGGTTGGAGGCCATCGCTACTAGGTTGGAGGCCATGGCTTCTAAGTTGGAGGCCATCGCTAGGAGGTTGGAGGCCATCCCTACTAGGTTGGAGGCCATGGCTTCTAAGTTGGAGGCCATCGCTAGTAGGTTGGAGGCCATCCCTACTAGGTTGGAGGCCATGGCTTCTAAGTTGGAGGCCATCGCTAGTAGGTTGGAGGCCATCCCTACTAGGTTGGAGGCCATGGCTTCTAAGTTGGAGGCCATCCCTACTAGGTTGGAGGCCATGGCTTCTAAGTTGGAGGCCATCGCTAGTAGTTTGGAGGCCATCCCTACTAGGTTGGAGGCCACGGCTTAGGTTGGAGGCCATCGCTAGTAGGTTGGAGGCCATCCCTACTAGGATCCCTACTAGGTTGGAGGCCATGGCTTCTTAGTTGGAGGCCATCGCTAGTAGGTTGGAGGCCATGGCTTCTTAGTTGGAGGCCATCGCTAGTAGGTTGGAGGCCATCCCTACTAGGTAGGAGGCCATCGCTAGTAGGTTGGAGGCCCCCTACTAAGTTGGAGGCCATCGCTAGTAGGTTGGAGGCCATGGCTTCTAAGTTGGAGGCCATCCCTACTAGGT